CAGCAATACATATGTCTGAGATATACTTTGAATTTTGAGCATTGAGAAGAGCAATCACTAGTTTATTAATTGAATTAGCTTACATGTATATAGTGATATATTTTTGCTTCACACAGTTAAAAAAGATATATATCAGTATGTTGTTAAATGGACAAGTTCGAATTGTCTGGAAGAGTACGGACAGAATGTGTACAATTTTTTGTCACACAGCCATTTAGTAATGAAGTGACAATGTATTTCAATATCATTTATTTCACCATGTAATGTGTTTGCAAACAAACTGCAAAAGACTTCCCCTGAAAAAAAAAGTCTCCAGTAATTTAGTGAAATTGGGAAGATTCGTAACATTCTCCAAAGTATATATCTGAAAGGAGAGTAATGACCCCTCTGCTAATGAAATTTGTACATTTCTGAAATTCTTAATGTCCGACCATATGCTACCAATGTTTCCCTCAATCGACATTACTAAAAAATCATATTAACTAATTGTTCACTGCCTTGGTGTTTTTGCAGTTTTGCAATCTGCCCTGTTTGCTTACAGAACAGTTACTGCAGTTTAGTTCCTTCATGTACTACACGTAAAGCGTTTGCAACCATATTGTGAAGAAATATAGCTGAACACCCTCTATCCCTTTTCTCTCCTGACATGTCATCAGATATTAATTGTTTAGCATTACACTTTAGCTGTTCATTCAGTAGCTCCTTCAATATGATCCACAGTTGGATTTATATTTTTTAGTGAATTATTACCTCAAATATATTTTCAGTAGGATTTTTGTACCAAAATAAAATAATATAACAATCACATTTGTATTGATTTTATTCTGCAATATTCTGAATTTAAGGGGCATCCTCTTCATTTTATTTATTTTTAAAAAATGGAAAAAAGTTTTGCCTCTTTTTTTATTTGCTTATGCATCATAGTCTTGTTGGAAAAATCATTGTTTCTCTGATTTCTGACAGCGTTTTCACCCAGAAAATGGTGCATAACACAAAAAAGTTTTGTTATCAGGGCAGTGCCCACTATATTTCTATGTTATTATTTAACTGACTTCAGACTTACAATTTATTGTTTATGATTGAAAGTAATGAAAAAATATTAAACTAAAAGTTCTGCAACTTTTTGAGAGCTGAAAAGAAAATATATTTTGAAAGCTAAAATGAATATGTAAAAAGGTTAGCAAACAACAAATGCATAAATAACTATTATTTACAAGGGTATGTATGTACTCAGTTTGGTTTCAAGATTATTCCTATTTTTGTGATTGTGACACTTGAACATGAACTAGTCTAAAGCTAACTGAGGACTGAAGGCATCTTTTGGAATGCCAAATCATCTAGTAAAAATAATAATTATTATAAAGAGAAAAATTGTTGAATCTACATTTTGAATATTTAGAACAGTGTTGCATAATTATGAGTTAAGATTTGGAAACTTAGATTTAACTTACAATATAGTAAATTATTGAGGCTGCTCCTGTTTTTAGTGTGATATTTTTAAAATAATCAAGAACAATGAAAGAACATATGTGTTTAATTCTATTTCAGCATGACTAAATTTATTTCAGTTGTAAACTTTCAGAATTTTGGGTGTTTGTAGCAGCCTTTAGCATTTTCTGGGGAAAATAAAAGATTTGCTGGAATATGGCAGTTGACAATGTTTTAGAAGAGCATTTTTATACAATGATGTTTGCACCCAAACAGACTATCCATAAGTTATATTTCATAGAAGAAAGATATTCATTTGCATATCAACAAATGTTTCTTTCTACAATAACTGGAAGTGGAAAGATAAAAAGCACACTCCAAATCAAGAAATTGATTTCTAATCCTATTTAAAGAATGCTTGCAGTTAAAAATACCTTCTCTCTTTTAAAGTGTTGATCCTTGCTTTTGGAAAGTTCTTCCACGGAAAGTCAACAGGGTGTAATCCTGGTCTATTTAATCCATTTATGGGTCAGTTATTTGTGTCTCTTCCATAAAAATATTTATTCATTTATAAGTGAGAAAAAGATGCTGAATGTCAAGTTTGAAATTAAATCAGTTGAGAGCATCGTTATGATCAGCCTAGGGATGAAGATGTTATTGACATTTGATTTTATTAAAGCTTGGGTTGGTTGTCAGATAGTGCTGGAACTTCAATTGGAATTTAAAGGCAAGTAAAGTTAATTTTAAAAATATTTGTCTATGTGCATTAGGTGAGTTTCATCATAGATGAGTGCATGGAACTTTCTTGCTGTCCTGAAATGAACTGAACATTCAGCTGTGTTGTGCTGGAACATCAATAAGTTCTAGTTATGCGAGTTAAAGTGATGGTTTGTAGTAAAGGTTTTAAATGCACAAAATAAAATTTAGAAAAATTATATTAACTGATGGATTTACAACTGAATATTTTGTTTTATTGACATAAATATAAAGGCAAAGGGGTAAACAAACATCTGTGGTCTGCTGTACAATGTAACAAATTTCTTGCTGGTGTTGGCAACATCCAGGATACATTCTATGGTTACACTTTTCTCTGGGATAGTATATACTTCTACATTATTCTTTTCTGTGAATCTTATGGCCTTAAAGTTTTATTCAAATCATTGTTTCATACAAAATGAAAAAGAAGTTTATGAAGTTTTCATTTTAACAGTATTCATCCCACAAAACCAGGATACACAAGCACTTCTTACACCCGTTAGATTAAAAATCACAAGATTGGTTAACCCTCAGAGCACTGAAAGTGTACTGGTTTTGAAGTGTTTACATTAACTCCTGCAAATCAAAACTTGATATAATTAAATCAAAGGTTGAAAATCTTAGTTATTTTTTAAAGAGTCCTGCGGAATTGTATACTTGCTTCAAAATACATTTAATCAGCTGCTAAACACAGGAATTCTTATTAGTTTAAGCTCTGGATACAAATGTAGTGAAGAGAACACCTAAAGAGATGAAAAGATTGTGTAATTTCTTTAAATTGCTCTTATTTGCTAATTGGTGCTGTTTGTTTTTCCTGATTAAAATATATTGCAATTTTAATACTTAAAGAATGAAACTTGTATGTGTTTATAGAGTTTGAACTGGTCTCCATAGCTTTAATGAAATTTCATTCTTGAGGATCTCTCAAGCTTTCTCTGAAAGAAAAACAAATACCATACATGTTGTAACCTATATTTAGAAGATTTGCTGTTGTCAGTTAAATGGAGCAGTAATTTTCCATGTGGGTGCATTCTCTGATACAGCTTTTGAATTTTGTTTAGTATTAGTTTTAATTTTTGCTGGAATGACTGTCGTTCACGTTGAGAAAGTGTTTAGAAGGAGTTTCTTCTGAAGTATTGTTACCTATTAGGAGTGCTATCGTATTCTTTTTCCTGTAATAAGCTCGGTGGTTGGCTGTCCAATATAGCAAATTTTATTTTGGAGGAGCAGAGGAAAACTATGAATGCTCAAAATACATTGTCATACATAGTAAAAAGGGTCACTTTGCAAAGGAACTGGGAAAGAAAATATCCTTCAAAACAAGAGTATCTGTGTAAAGTATACATTAGAATGTCATTGATCTTTAAATTACCATGCACTTTGAAATTAGAATTAATGGAAATCTATACATTGAGTATGAGCCCCTACTTACAAAAATAACAAGTAGGTCGAGATGAACTATAGACAGTAAATTAGCTCTGACGAATTCTTCAGATTGTAATTGTTATAAAATTGATTTTTTGCAAGCTAAACAGGAAGAAAGAAAAGGGGGATTCACAAGGATTTTACCTAAAATAGTATCTATTACATAGCACCTGTATCATTAGAGATACAGCAGCCCAAAATTAAATATTTGAATAGATTTATTAGAGTTTAGATAGAAAGTCTTCATCTTATTACCACTGATATCATGTTCCCAGAATTGACAAAATTACACTGAAACTGGTTATGGGTAGAGCTACCCATGAGAATGCTGTATTTTCAGCAGAATAATATGTGTACAGTTTCTGTATGTATAATTAGTTTTAAACAAAAAAAATTATTTTAAGTCTGATTATTATAAATTTTCAAAAATAATTCCCTACTTTTCCATTAGCACTTCAAGTCAGTTCCAATGCACTATTAATATTTGTGTACCTCAATTTTAAATCAATTATGATCTATATATCACCATCTGTGTATATTAATATACTATAACTGATTCATTAGTTCTACATTAATTTTCTTCAAACTTCCAAATGTAGAAATATTACATCACATCAAAAATTCAGAAGAATTATGATCAATAGTGTCAAGAAATTGAAAGTAATCTTTAAAACTACAACATATTTGGACTAATTGACTTTTATGCATAAGAAGGCCTGTGACCTGGGATGGTTACTGCAAATAGCAAATAGAGTTTTTTAAAGAAAATGTCATCTGTAATTTACAGTCAGGAGAAAAGTATGACCTTCTATTCTATGAATTTAAATAAACAGTCTATTTTAACGGCATAGCAACTGTGTTTTTTAATATGTTTTTTAATTTGGTAATGCTTTCCAGAAGCTGCTCTTACCACAAAAAATAACAAAGCTGAGATGCTTCTCTTCTGTAAGTTGAAGACTAAACCATTTGAAATTTGACATTTTCCAACATTTTAAGATTTAACATAATTCTGATCTTTGTATTTCTGTAAGCTAGTAAGCTATAGCAGGAGAAGAATGTGTCTCTTTCAATACAGAGTTTGAACAAACATGTGCCCTTCTTCAGGTACCGCTTCTAGAGCCAGTAAACTGCTGAGTCTTGTACTGTTATTCACTTAAAAATGCCTTCAGTGAAACTAATTTAATATGTATTTGCACGAGTTTCTTTTTGGTTTAAGTTCATAGAATTATTTTACTAATCACTATCAATTAGAGCAGGAGGGGCAAGAATATTTTTTTCAAATTGAACGTCAGGAAGTTTTCTATTGGTCAGAAGAAATGGCGAGATGTGACGCAAAGGATACTTGGCCAAGTAGAAGCGTTGATCTGTGCCAAAACAGACGTATCAAGAAATGTTGTTGCTAAGAGAGCTTGTGGAGGCCTTTTTTTGTGTTATGTTATTGGCATAGGCTAGTGAGAACACAAGCAATTTCCATTTTAGCAGTCGGGCTTTGATGGCCCAACTTCAAGGGAACACGCAATGGTCAGAATAAAAAGACAGGTTAGTCAAAAAATAAATTCAGCAAGAAGTGGCTGAGGTTCTTTTTCTTCCTTTCTTTGGGAGGTTGTCAGTAAGTGCCACAGTCTCCTGTGTGGGTATGCAGGAGAGAAAGCCAGCGAACGTAATTGCGCTATCAGAGGTAGTGTTCAGAAATAAACCCCACCTTTTTTTAGATTCACAAGTCGACAAGTTGAACTTTTGACTTCCGTTGGTTGCAACATATTCAACAATAGAGCTATCCATATAAACTGTTTTTTTCCTAAATCCGTCAAAGCACAGAGGGAAAGAGAGAGAGAGAAAGGGGAGAGGATTTTTATTTTAAAGTTTGCCTTGGTCTTTCAGCAGCAGCAGGGGAATGGTGGTGGGGGGGAATATGTACTGTGAACTTATGCTAGCAGCTTCTGGAACTTGAGCCAAAAGGGGCAGGAAGTTGTTTTACAATAGAGTTACAGTAATCTCCCATATGTTGATCATAAAAATATTATTTAAAAGGGAAAAAACACTTTCAGTTTATGATGCCAAGTTAAAGATATTTTTTGAGTTTGCTTATAAAGCTCAGCTCAAGCCCTTGAATGCTCCCAACAAATACACTTAAAAATGCAACGTGACTTTTGGCACGATTCTTCAAGTTTGCTTGAGGTTACTGTTGGGGGGGAGGGGATGGGTGGGGAGGGAAGCATGCTGCACAAGCAAGTTTAAAAGCATGCAGTAAAAAGAAAGCTTTCGCTGAAATCCTTTGGAAAGTTGGTTTCAAAGTGCGTTGTTCAGTTGAGACCAGGGCATTTTGTGTGCAGTATTTAGAGCCAGGTTTGCTTTCTGTACGTTTTCAATCTAGCAGCAATCATGGCAGCTGTTTTTCTTCCAGCACAGCAGTTGCTGTCTCGCCCAAATGCTTATCAGCCTTTGACTCCATGCCAAGATAGTTGTAAGGGTCGAACAGTTTTAACTTGGTCGAGCAGCTGGTTTAAGAGCGGGACATGAGAACAAAATTATTCAATTAATTGTGGATCTATTTCTCAATATTCATTCTCAAAGCTAAGTTATGAATTGATGTCCTTTGATGTATAATCTTAGACTACGTTCTTTTTCCAAATTGTGTTTTTTTTTAAATAACATTTTATCTCCTGCCATTGCTGAGGATAAAGCTATAGAAGGTAAAAGGTTAATTAGCAACACTGCACTAAGAACAGTGTGTGTTTTAAACAGTGGGGAAATCAGTCTCATGCTGCATGTCTTAATTCATTACCTGGCTCAAAAGAGTGTGTGTGTTTGGGGGAGGAGTGGGGGGGACTGCAAAGAAGCACAGAGTGCGCTGGCGCAGTGCGGTCCAGCTCAACCAGAGGATCGGTGGTGTCAATCGCTGCACAATTCATGGCCGTGTGATGAAAGTAGCTAGCTCGTGCACACGGGGCGGAGGTGGTGGTGGGGGGGGGGGGGGGGGGGGGGGGGGGGGGTGGAAGAGCATGCCTCTATTTCATCATCAGCTCAGGCCTCTCGGTACTGCTCTGTCCTTCTTGATAGACAGTTGCAGTCACTCGTGAGAGGACGACTGAGCTATGCTTATTCTGCTTCTGTTCCTGTTGCAAGGGCCTCCCCCTCAGACAGCCTTTGCCAGACCAGAAGATTTCTTCACACGACTGACTGGATTTTTGTTTTTTGTTTCTGTATTGTGACTGGCTGGCACGAGATGTGGTTCACATTTTTTATTTGAGTGATTTTTTTCTCTCTTTGGCTTCCTGTGAAGTAATGTGATGGTTAGTGCAGCTGTAATTTTTTTGCTAAATGAATAAATTTTTCCTGATTCAAGTACTGAATTTTTCTCGGCGTGCCTACCTAATCCTGCATGGGTTGCTTCAAAATACAAACGTACTGTGCCACTCAAAGAAAAAGCTCGGTCTTGAAATTGTGCTGCGCATCTGCGTGTGAAAGGACAGCATTAGCTATGAATGTGCTGAGGGCTATGTGGAAGTAGCTGCACTTCTAGGTCCTCATCTTTTTCATATTGGGAGGGAACAGGGTGTGCAGCAGAGCGCTGTCTGGGACAGGTGCCAACTCCAGACAAAAGACATAAAATAGGCTGTGAAAGAAAATGTTCACTTCAGTACAAAAAGGATTATTGATGATATTGTGGAATGAAAGTAATAAATAATTTGAGTTAAGCCACGTTAGTTTCACTTTCAATTTAGAAGTAAGAAGAAAAAAAACAAGAGTGCTGATATATAAAAAAAATCTCTTCACTGCAGGCATTTGAACTGTGAAGGGTTGGGGGGGTGTGGTTGGTGTTGTGGGGGTCGCTTCTGCCCGTTGAATAATTCATGGACTTGGTTGTGAGGCTGGACCAGCAACGTTATTAGCATGCATCAGACATGCTGTTTGTCTGTTTGCTAACATTCTTCATTCAAAGACTTGTTAACTACCAGACGAGTTTAACACGCTGGTTTTCAGTTACCCTTCGGCCTCCCATTGTCATCAACATTGGCAACTGACGAGGCTGGTGGTGGAGAGGGGGTGGTAGTTGGTACGGATGGCAAGTAAAGCTTGCAGATGAAAACTGGAAGTGATTGCTAGGTAGGGACCGCCTTCCATTACTCAGGCCTGTGAGTACTTGTTAAAATGGAGTTGACTGTTTTCTTGTCTGCTTTGCAGGACAGCAAAAAACAAGGGGAATGCTTTTCCATGTCTATCTCTGCCAATTTTTCACACTTTTTGGGGGTAAGTCTCTCCTCTCACACTCTTGTTGTCTCTGTTTCTGAATTTTTCGTCCATCGCCCTTTGAATGACATACTGCAATGATAAACTGTATTTTCAGCTTCTTGGACTAATATGAATCCTTTCAGCCAATGAAGTTTTAATTTGCAAATTGCTGCTGCCCCGTTTTCTGAAAATAGATCTGAGTGTCATAATTTTCATCTTTCTCTTTGGGTTGGTTGTTTGAACCAACATTTTCCAATCATGTTTGGTATTTTCCCTGTCATTTTGCTTAATGTGAAGAATTGTTCAGTACTGCAAAGTTTCAATTTTTTGATGAATGGGGGTTTGTTTCCCAATACTCATATTTTGCGCACATGTTCTAGGACAGGTGCCAGTCTTCCTACCGGGGCTTTATGCAGTGTCTCTGTTGGTTACCACCTTTTACTGGTGCAGTGATATGGGACACTTTGAAAAAGCAGAGAAAATAAGAGCTACAGATAATATTTTATGTTTGTTTTGACAATTGTTTTCAACTCCTGATAAACACTAAGGACTGAAATGCTTTTATTTGCTACTGAGTGAGTATTAAATAGCAGGGGTTAAAAAGGAATGGAGAATAGGGTTCTTCAGGTTTTATAGTAAGACCCCTTGTGCTGTAATGCTTCTATAACTTTATCATTGTTATGTGCCAGTAACCATTATTATTGTCTATATCTGTTCTATTTGACATTTTCTTGTGTTTTTTTTAAAAATATATATTGGACTGTTTCTCTGCTTTGCTTAGATGGGTTGTATTGAATGATATCTTTTTAAAAAGCCTGATCCTGTGATGCTCGATTTTGGAGTGTATACTGCATAAAAGAATTCTGCTGTTTGCATTTTATTGAGTGTGGGGGGGGTGGAGAATTTATGAACAACTTATTAACTTCTTTATTTTGTCGTTTTCTTTCTGCTTTTCTGCTGTTGAATGTGTTTGGAAAAACATAAACTTTTAAGAATAGGTATTTTGGAGAAAAGTATGAAATTACTGGAATATGCCAGAATAGTAAAACAACCTTGAGTTGTTTGAATCATTCAGATTTTTTCTTCATTTTTAATTAATCCTGTACTAATCAAATTTTGTAATGGTTAAGCATGCGTTACGATTCCAGGATGTGCTGTTTAAATTTATTATTTTCCCTGTAACCAGTGGATTTTTTAGAAAAATATATTAAAACTTTTTTTTAGCTATTTACTTGTTTCAGAACTCAGCATTCTGATTTATAAAGAATGATCTTGATGCACGGAAGGATAATTGAGATCATCTGAGATATCTTTAGTCTAACCCATCCCAGAGTGTGAATGAATTAGGTAATTATATAACATAAAATTTAAACCTTTAATGTTTTAAAATCTTGTATTGGCCATTCTTTCTTACAAGCAATAACAACAAACTAATTCGTAGTGGAAGTTAGTTAGATCAGCCGTATCTTGCGGTTGGTTTCATCCCCTCATATTTACTTCCTCGCAGTCTTCCATTGTTACTATGCAACATGCATTTCTTACATTGCCTTGCATGCCCCTGTTTATGGGTATTTCCAATTGACTTCATATGGTTTATTCCAATTGAAGATCTGAATGCTTCCATTCAGAATAAAAACTACTCTTAGATAAGCGATTATTCCCATCACGGATTTGATCCTTCATAGCATTTAAGAAAGACAAATCAAAACTTAGCTATTAATTCTTATTTAACTCTTGCTATGGCCAGTTCTCTAAACAGATACTGTCTTTCTGAGATGCTTGTATTCTGCAATGTGCGGCAGTAAAATGGCAGCTGTATGTTTCACACTTAATCCTACTGAATGAAAGATGACGCAACAAGACAAGTAAAATTGTTGGTTTTTTAAATGAATTTTAAAAAATTGGTATTATGTGTGTATATTTTAAAGTTGAAGGCAATTCCATCGACATTAGCTAAGTTGGAAGAGCATTTGTTCTATATGTGCGTGTGGGGTGCGTGTTCTTTTGCCTGTCTAGCTCTCTGTGACGAACATATTGTTTTGTTTTACATTCATTTAATTACAGTACATTAAACTACTGTATATTTTTGTTAAAAATTACTTTGCATGTTGGCGTCAGATTTACTAAGAGCAGAAATTCATTTCTGTTATCAGAACACTCAATGGTCAGCAAATTAAACTAACTCCACTCAAAATAGTCTGTTTTCACACAAATATACAACATGCCACAGAAAGCCATGTTGTGCGGTTGAAGAAACTCAAATATATTTAAGTTAAAAACATTTTACTTAAAAATACATATTTTTTATTTTATGACTTTTGGGAAATAATTATTTTGTTAAGTGCATGACAATTGTTTTTATTTCTTTAGTAGTCATTTTCCCTTTCCATTTAAATGCTGCTTTTAACTTACTGTGTACTACTTGTTTCAAAACTCACGTTAAATATTTTGCATGATCAAATTAACTATTTTTAATTAATCTATTGTGCCATTGTTTGCGGTCGATCTGTGCGGATTATATTTGTTCAAAAATACAAGTTGGTACTAAAATTGCAAACAAGTCTTTTTATGTTATAGTGTAGAAACGAACAGACTAGTCTGACAAATCATAATGTGGAGAAATCTCACATCAAAATCTATGCTGCATATTTTGTTTTATTATTTTCAAACCTGCAACTGTATCAGGCCATCAGTGATGGAACCAAACTAAACAATATCTTGAGAAGGAGAAGAAATGACAAAATTATTTGCATTTCTAGGAGCTGTAGTTTTTAGGGTACTGTAAGATTTTTCTTCCCCCTCGAAAATGTTGCTTGAACTCAATGCATGCAGTTAAGGCACTTTATCCTTAAATAGACGAATAAGAATATCAAGATTCTTGTTGCCAAGCTATTCCAATGTAGTCAGATCTTCCATTTTGATCCATTATCTTAAATTGGAATGGAAAACAGAAAAAATACGTCGCAGTAGTATGCATGCCCTGGCAATGTGACTCGAAATTTTTTTTTCCCCTAATCCCAGGGTGGGTTAGCGCCACTTTGTTAAACTAGGAGAAATGCAAAATCCAGAAAGCAAGGAATGACTTTGAAAGTTAGAGCTAAGAGGATTTAAGTTAATACTATTTGTTGGTTGCTATGTAAAATAAGTACAACTAAAATACTTAAATTTTCCATTTTAAAGCATGTTAATGATGCTTGAGCTGCAATGGACACACCACCTTGATCAATTGGTACCATCATGTTATGAATTAATATTCAAAAGAAAGAAGCAGGGGAATTTGTTTGGTGGAGGGGTTCAGTTTGGAAGTTTCATTTTAAGGTGTCAATTTTGATTACCACAGTGGTTAGGGTGTGAGACTGTGATGGAGTCATTTCCAACTGATATGAGCATTCATTTTGTAAAATTAAGGTTTTAACATTTCAGTGCAGAGGAGGAGATAAACCATCTATTGTCAGATCAATTTTGCATTCCAGAATTGTGGAAACAAGTAGAAAAAAAGTGATTCAAAATAATTTACTAGCCTTTTAAATATACATATAAAATAAACCTTATATGAACAAACACTCAAAATATTTACTATAATTTTTAAAATTAAAATATTTAGTACAAATTTGATCCTTTGGCAGTGTCAACGATTGACAATATGGTGGCCTGTATTGATATGAACAGGCTGTGCCATCGGGTTGTAAGCACACGCTAAGAGACAGGATTGGAGAAAGAAGATACACACTGTGCAATCTGTCAGACAAACACGTGATATACAAGCAGTCAAAGAGCCGCATTATTACTGAAATTCGGGAGTGAATGCGCCACAAAGATGTCATTTGTTTTTTCGGGATGGGTAGTGAGTGGGTGGAGTTGACTGGATAATTTGTTTTTGTAAAAGATGCAATTCATAGTTAGATGCCTAAACCCTCGAAACAGAGGCTGATAAGTAACAGACAAATGCTTACGTTTTCCTTACCAGAGCCTGCTGCAAATTTGCTGCTGTACTTGTTCAACAGTGACTAATTTGTGTATGAAGGAAATTGAATCAGACATTCTAAAAGCCTATTTTATCAGTTTTATTAATCCAAAAATAACCTGAAATTGAGCCAGAAGCCATTAAGCCAACATTTGAATCTAGAATCAGGATGCACGGTAAGAAAGTGAGGGAAAAATTGGAAACAGAAGTTTTTATGTGTTTAACTTTCTTGAGTATGTATGTATTCCTGAATACACTGGTTATTGGAATTTGTGATTTTCAAAAAAAAATCTTTAGAATTTATTATTTCAGATGAAGTCAGTCATTGACCTAGAGGATGAAATGTACGTTGATTAAAATTTTCTGGGTTTGCCTATTTGAAGCAATGAACTAAATGTGAAAAGTTGAGTGTGTTCATTAGAATTCATGTTTTGATGGTACCTCATTACATCTTCAAAGTGCTGTGCATTCAATTAATTTTATTCACTATTGTAATTTGCACACAATAAGCTCCAACAAATAACACATTTAGATACCTGACTAGTTAATATGTTTTTTGTGTGCTGGTATAGAAATAAGTATTGCACAGGAGAGGAGTAGAATCCTGTTCTTTTCTTTGAATCATGGCATGGAATAGGGGGTCTCATTTGAAATGTAGGACTTTTGACAATGCAGCACTTCTTGATCACTGCATGAAGGTGTTAGCTCAGACTATGCGCTCAAGCCTTAGAGTGGGGTTGACCCCACAAAATGTTGACTCAGAGTTGAAATGCTTCAATACAACTAAGATGACAAAGAAATATAAAGAAAAAAGGGAAAGCATTTAAAAATATATTATCTCTGTCTACATAATTTCACTTCTCATTATTTATTTATCTAAATCATGTTCATTCAAAGTTACTGTGTTCAAATTGTCAAATTCAAATCATGCTAATAGGTCTATGTCATGTAATCAATAAATAATTCAAATTACTGGACAATTTGGATTTTTCGAACAAAGACAATTGTACAAGATGCAAGAAAACAGTTCAAACTGTTGTCTTGACTTAAACTT